GCATGCCAAAAAGTATCTATCAGATACGCGAACTCTGGGAATGCCGGCTATGCAACGCATGGCGTCTACGAAAGAGAAAGCAGAAAGAAATAAATCAAATCGCACATTCTTAATAAATTCGCAAAAGGAAAGCAGAGAGCAGTGTTAAAAAAATTAACACAATCTTTTTGACAGCATTCTGACTCGACTACATTCTAAAACAAATCTGTATCTGTGTCTGCATCTGTATCTGTATCTGTGACGACCATTGGCAACTGGCTTTCTCAAGGCCAGTTGAATTTTGTGGTCGTTAAACTCTCTCCCACTTTCTCCCCCTACTCTCCTGCTCCTCCTTTGGGTTCTTTGTTCACTTTCACGGAAAGAACTCAACAACCTCAAAATGCGCAATAATTTTTGGCTGCCTGCACTTTGACTACACAGTGAAAATGTGATTTGAATATGGTGTGACATTAAATTAATAGATTTTGTTATTAACTTCTTTAAACTATACTAAGGTTTACTGCATGGACTCGCAGCTTTAAATTAAAGTATATCATAGTTTGGATATAAAATATACATGTTTTTTAAAATATTTATTTTTGGAAAAAGAAAAAAATTTAGGTATATATATTTATTTTTAAAATTTAAGCATTAAAGATAATAGAAATATCCATATTTAAATATTCATCTAAAACTTAGAACAATAAACGCTCTTCATTTTTTCAGTGCACACAAAAAATCGGAAGCACTGTTTCCAGCTCTTGTTTGGCTAATTAAAAAATGTTAGCTGCCACAAAAAAAAAATGGGCAGAAATCAAAAGCACAGTCAGAAATGGCTAGAAACAAATGTTAATGAGTGCAGTCACTCTGAATGATTGCAAAAAGCGAGGGGCTGCAGGGGCTTTGGGTGGCTTTTAAAAATAGGGGAATGACGACAATGGGGCAGCCAAATGTTTTATAGCCAAACAAAGCTAACAAGATCAAGGCGCTCTTCAAACAATAACCTCGAATCGTACACACATAAATACCCGTGTGCAGTATTAATGGCCTGGCTTTATCAGGTGTATTGGGTGAGTGGGCACCGTGGTGCGATAAGCGTCACGTCTTAATCACATGAATGGATATATTATTCACCCAATTCGCTTCCCACCATCGCCATATCGCATCAGACATGTCCAGCGAGGTGTGCCATATTTGGGTTTTTGTCTGATAGTCGCGAACAAAGGCAAAGTAGTCTGAAGTTCAGGGTTCTTCCCTTGAGTGGAAATCGGTTTAAGTGTACCATGAGAAAGTGCAATTCTTATCATCAAAACAACAATCATATTTCTTTTATGCTGATAGGAACACCTTATTTTATTTTAAAGTGAGTTATTAAATTTCTCGAACTTTTTTTTGATAATATATGTACGAGGGTTCGAGATATGTAAATTCAGTGGTGTAATCATGCGAAAAATATTTTATCTAAACAAACGTGACCTGTTATAAGTATTCAGCATATTTAACATATTATATTATTATCACTTCTGTCCTGCAATCACCAAAATATGACACAAATAAAGCTCTATGATTATGTCACATTCCATTGAATTTGTCTACCAGGAAATGAAGTCAACGCCTTACCAAGAAATTACAATTTAATTAGGCGCATAAATTGAAATAATTTCGCCAAGAAGTCGTCGTGCTCGTTAGTCAGAAATCAAAAAAATGGAAAAGGAAATCCAGCGGGCCATAAAAGTTAATGGAAATCGGTGGAAACAAGGGCAGAAAAGCCACGTGGCGAAAAGAAATAACAAAATTAATTGCATGCTCCGTGCTAAATTCTTTTATTCAAACAACGAACCCCGACTCGAAAAAGGGACCATTAAATGCAGTCGACTGGTCAGCCCGAAAACACGCTATATAATTATACTATCGGCCATATAATGTAAGCCATATACATTTAATGCATACACATATACGTGTATTAACGTATTAAATTAGAAGCAGTCAAAGGAAAAAGCCTTGCATGACATGAAGGCATTTTCAATGCAATACTTTTAATGGAACCCCAACCTTTTTCAAGTTTTTTGTGTGCTGCCTGTTATCCAAATATGTATTCAGGCCAAGTCCTTGCGGCTCATTTAACAACTCTTTCCACTTTGCCAGCCAGAGAGCGCCAGTCTGTATTACTTTTTTGTTAATTAATTTCTGTGTACTTGGCAAAAAAAAAGAAGCTATTCCTGACGAGGTCAACGACTACATTACCAGCGTCGGGTCGTAAAAAGCCATACGTATACGAAAATTAAATTGTGCATGTCTGGCTCAGGACTAAAGCTCATTTCAGGAGGACATTAAAGTCCTGCAGGAGTTCGAGTGTGTGTGTTGAATACTAGAGTGCTGTCACTTTGCTCCGACATCTTCATTCTCAAGTGGGGCACTTGGCTTGGTCCCACCCTGCGTATGAGTGATTTGTTGACTGTTTTCGGGCTTGGCTTCCACGAATCTCTGCTAAAACGCTTTATTTGCTCACTTAATTGGTTCAGATTGGTTTGCCGTCTTCACAATTTGCATTTTCGTTGAATTCCTTTTATAACCATGACTTGGCAGTTCGTTTATCAAAAGTGTTTACTTAAAGTCTTTTTCTTTTTAACGTCTGCTATTGCCCCCAAAAAAATGTTATGGGATTTTTTTTTTATCAGCAAGAGTCAATAACTGATTGTAGCGACGAAAGAAATAAATAACGAAAAAGACAAAAAGCAAATGAAATAGAACAAATACATTAGATTCTTATAAATAGACCGACTAGAATTATTTTTTCCGTTCGGACTTTTAGCTTTGTTTACGTGTCAGTTGGAACGTGGCTGCTACTTCAATCCAGCATAGCATATAGATCCCCCACAGAGCCCACTCTCAATTATTACGTTTCGGAGTAAACAAAGTCGTACGATGGATGCGTCAGCACACAATTTGGCTAATCACAAACACGCCGGCAAAGTACACCTTGATAATGACAATTATGAAAGTAACACCGCTCTTCAGGTGACCCGCCCACTTTGTGTGTGGGTTTGTCACGCAACAAAGGTGGAAAATCCAATGCCCACGTGTCAGCTTAATATCCTAAGAACTGCCAGACACTTTGATGCATTGTATTCCCCGGTGAAAGCGAATGGGGACCGAAAACACTTTGATTTATCCGAAAAAGAGCTTCTAGATGGGGGAACAAAGAAAAAACTAGAAAAAGACTTTCTAGATGGGGCACAAGAATAAACTAGAAACATTATCTAATTTTGTATGTCAGGAGTAAACAAAGAAATATAAAAGTGGAAAATCATCGGAACCAAACCAAATATTGATTAGTAAACACCATTTGGTAAACACCATTTTAATAATAATAAATAAGGTGCAAATTGTAATAATTTAAATATTATGATTATGATTACTATTACATTTGCATTTATCCTCAGTTTTATCCGAAAACATACTAAAAAATAACAGATAGAAAAGAATTCCTTTAATATGCATTACATAAAAATATTTGGCCTAGATAAACAGTATTTGCTAATTGTGTAAAATAAAATTCGGATAACCTATAAATAGGCTGTAAAACCTCAAAGTCATTCAAAGAATTGTCGAAATTATTAATTGCCAGCCAACAAACTTTTCCGATTTACGATCTGGTTAATTTTAGTTATGGTTTTCCATTTTCTCTTCCCACTTCCACCTAATTCTGTCCATCATTGCCATTGTTTTGCTTAAACTGTCTCACCAAGAGGAAAAAAAGAACTCTTGACGAGTCAAGTGTTTCTCGTCTGATGCCTTCTGTTTTTTCTTAATTTTTTTTCCCCGCAGCTCTGGTACTTGAAGCATTTTGTTTGATGGATTTCTAAGTGCGTAAATCGCTGTGATTTTCACTCTTTTTTTTTTGAAAAAATAGAAAAACTATTTTCGCAGAAAACAACAACAAAATTGTCTCTGGGAAAATGAACATGATTAATTAGTCGTTCTTGGTGGGTATTCTGGGTTTCAATATTTCTTTTGTGTGTGTTCCCTAAGTGAAGGGGAAAATCCTCATGAGCCCAAGTGACTGACTCAGCGCCTCCATAATTCATTAAAAAAAAAAAGATTTCACAGAATATCATTTCGGGTGCGAAAAGAGTTGAGCTGGCAGCGCGTGCCGCGTTTCGCGTTTCGCGTATCCCAATCCCATCAGATACAATTTGGTCCGCTTCCTCTGTCAAGGTTTATTTACTTTGAATTTGCTCTATAAATATTTGATAATTGGGTCCTTGGCCCGCCCATGCCAGTGCCATTTGTCGAGCTGAACACACACAATTAGAGTAACAAGTTGACATTCGTGGGAGGCAAGCATCGTGCATGTAATGGCGGAAATAAGGTTAAGTGTAGGCGGCTTTGCTGTGCAGAACTTGTTGCATCGCCATCGGGCTCCTCCGTTCGCCTGACGTCAGCGAATGGAGTCTATTGAGCCTTGCCATTTTCGGCCCTGCCCTTTATTGATTTTTCAATTCCCCCCCATTGCATGCGAATAAAAAAGGATTGCTGCTCCACAGATAGAAATTTCAAGGAGATTGGGGAACAGTGTTCAAGGATGTACAGAATACTTTATGGAAAAATCAAGCTAATTTGAAATTCCTATAAGAAGTGAACCAAACACTTCTTTAATTTTAAAAATAACTTTTAAAAGATTTCACAGGCTGCAAGAACTTTAAAAGGAAACCCACAACTTTTATAAAATTACGAAAACATTTTTCTAAGACAACATCAATAAATTGTTAAGTAACTATATTCAGTTTTCAGCAAAAATAAAATATATTTTATGCAAATATTAAAAACATATGTTTAAACCTTTTTAAATTTAATTTTGTTGATAATGTAGAATACTTCAGTAATGAGGTTTAAGTAAAATTGATTTGTTTAAATAGAAATTGTGCTACCTTTAAATTGAAACGACTGTAATTAAAATTTTCCCTTAATTCATTGGGTCTTCGGGATTTTCCCAAAAATAAATTAGCAAGGTGACTCACCTTTCTCCAAGCTGGCATTGCAGAACTTGAGGGCGTCGTCGAGCAGGTTGAGGTGCATGCAGCTGCTGGCCTTCTCGCCGATCTTCTTGGCCTGCAGATCCGGGCCCCACCACTTCTCCACCAGCCGACGCACCAGGACATCCGGCATGAACTTCATGGCGGAGGAGCCGCTGCCTCCTCCGTGGACAGAGGGATAGCCACTCAAGCCCAGGGCGGCGGCCGCCGAAGTAGATGCCATGGTGGTGGTGGCCGTGGCCGTGGTGGAGGCCACCGTGGTGGTGGTCACTGTCATGGGTGGTGCGGCCAAGCGGTGGACACTGGACGCCAGTTGAACCCCATAGCCCACGGGGAAGCTCATCAGGCTGAGGTTCGCATTGTGATTGGAGGGTGCTGTGAAAAAGCTGGATCCCGCACCACTGGCCGTGGTGGTGGTCAAGGCGCAGCCCGTCGTCCCTGGTGGTCCTGGCGAGGAGTAGGAGTCCTGGATGCGCGGAAATCGCACCTGGCAGATGTTGCACTGCGTGATCGTCTCACAGCACTGCCGGCAGAAGGTGTGGCCACAGTTGGTGGTCACCGGACAGCGCAGGATATCGCCGCACAGGGGACACAACAGCGGATCGTAGTCCTCCCAGTCCTGCAGTGGACTTGGTACTCTAAGTTCTCGCGTGGGCGAGTGAAGATCCAGGGGAGATGGACTGGTTGCACCCATGGACTCACATTCACCCACTCCCCTTAGGAATTCCAACTGATCGGCTGGGTTTTGTTTGCCCTGACGGTGGTGATACCTCGACCAGGGCATTATGTCCAGTCTTTCCGACACCCTGGGGCTCTTCACGGTGGGCGTGGCAATGCCGCCCATTTGACGGATGTGGGAGGTCAGGGCGGTGGCCAGCGTGGTCAGTTTGTCCAGGGGCACATGGCCCTCCAATTGCCTGCTGGCTATTAGTTCGTAGACATCGAAGGCATTCGAGAGATTGCCCTCCATGGCAAAGGATTCGCCCAGCCAGTAGGAGAGGTGCAGCGAGTTCTGCCTGTCGCTGTGGGGCAGGTAACACTGTGCCGCCTGGCTGCTGGGTGGCAGGATGTGGCCCTGGTCCTGCTGCTCCTGGCGGAGCACCTTCATCGCCCGCTTCTTGGCGCCCAGCGAGGGCTTCAGGCAGTAGCCCTGCGACAGAGGCATTTTCGCCTATACACTATACGCTATTTCGTGATCCCTTGGCTGGTTTTTGATATTATTCTCGTAGCTGCCTGCAGTCACGTATGCAACAGTTTGCGTTGCCCCCGGGGTAAATGTATCTTGCAGATACAATATCTATATCTCACATCACTATACACTTCACTTTCGTTCACTTGCACTTCGCACACGACAGCTTTCTAGATTCTTATTTTTATTTTTATTTTGTATTTTCATTTATTCATTTCCATTTCTTTTGCCATCAATTATTCTTTTGCGTGCTTTGCTTTTGCCTGTTTTAGTTGAACTGAAGAAGAAGTTTTGACAACAGCAGCAGCAAGGCATCTGAAAAACACAGAGAACAAAGAGAATATGAGTTGGATTCTGATTTTGATTCCGGGAGAAATACACATACATAGAGGAGAGGTAATCAAGAGAGAGAGCGAGAAAGATAGCGGAGAATGTGAAGTAAGCGGAACAAGAAAAAGATAGGGGTTTTACGTAACGCTCAAAAAAAAAAAAAATAGCAAAACAAAACTAACAAAAATAAAGCGAGCAGCCAAAGAAATTACTGATTCTCAGAGGCAGCTTTTGATTCTGTTTTATAATTCCAAACCCACACACACACTCACACATTCAATTTGGGGAGAGAACCCTCGCTCTTTTGATATCTCGCGCTCTTGATTACTTGCTGGCCGGAGCGAAGAAGAAGAACTGTATCTATTACTTAACCACTGGAGAATGTCAGATATCTCGCATACGAAATGCATTTCTCGCACCATCTCAAAAAACGATGACGTGACTTTTGTCGCCTTAGCACAAAGCTAATTGCCAGGCAAAGTTCTTATATAAAATGTGTGCAAAAACTTGAAGAGAGGTTCAATGAACTTTCTCAAATTGCCTGGAAGCCTTAGGAGAACCTTTCAATTTCCACTAAGGCCGAGCGAAATGAAATTACTATATTATTGCGGTTAAGGTAGGGCATAGAATATAATCGCAACCAGACGGCGGCACATGCTATTACATAATATTATGAAAATTAACACTGAATCACATAGAGCGAACTGACGCGGACGCTGGCTAAAGTAACGAAATCAAAATCATCGGAACACAGATACTTTAATACTAATGCGAAAACAAATAGACCCGCTCTTAGGTTCGCTCTTCCGTTCTCTTCGAGAACTCTGGCTCAATGTATTTGTGAGATACGAAATGAAAGAGAGTCTGCTTTTGTTTTTGTCGGATTTTTGGCTTGTTTCGGTTTCTATTTTTTTTTTGTATTTTTGATTGTGCGCACGTTTTGCTTTGACGTCGTTCGTATTGTATCTTTAAGATAAACAATGCCGGCATAACACACAGATACAAATAAACGCTCCCAAACACACCACACTCACACATTTGGAGTTCGGTTTTGTCTTTGCCTTCGCATTCTGGTTTTGTTATGTAAACAATTTTTTGGTTGTCGTCCGCCGGCATCAAGATCTCTATGCTTTTCCTTCCTCTTTTTTTTTTGGTATAATTTGTTTACATTTGCAAAGGCAATCAAAGTGTGCCAAAATAAAATAAAACTACAAAATTGCGTGCAAATGAAATTTGTAGTTTTTCTTCGGCAAGATATAAACGCAAACCGAGACTCGCTCACATTTTTATATCAGACGATTCTTGATTTTGCATAAATCTCGTTGTTAAGTAATGCCGAAATATTTTATAAGTTGGTAGTTAGCCAAGAAAATGAATTTATCAAGGGTGTGTTTATATGTCTGCAGATATACGATCTACATGAGATTTTTTGATCAAGTCGGCGACCCAAAAAATATAATGAAAGACGCATGTTATATTCGGAATAGAATTTCGGCTGCCGGTTACATAAGACCTGGGGAAGTTTTTGTGGGTTAGAATGGCCAGGTTTCGCATTTTAACAAGAAACAGTAAAGAATTGTTGGGGATTCCAAGATTTCGGTATTTTAATGATCCTTTAATAAAAAAAAAGAACTAACTTTCCAATAAATTGCCATAAAATTAAATTACATCAATATATTTTTGTTATTTTTATTTAAAGAAACATATTTGTTTTGTATTCGTACAAGTACTTGTCATAATATAGCCCTTCAAAGTTGTAATCATAGCTAAAAGGCATTAAGTACAAAGTATTTACTATTATTTAACAAACTTCCTATAAATTTCCCTTTCAAACGCTATTTACTGATATCGACCTTCAATCACTCGAGAAAAGCCACTTTTAGATTAGTTTAAACAGAACTTCTCACAAGCTGCGATTCAGTTCTGAAACCATATATATGTATATATATATATAAATATATATTAATATAGAGGTAGCCAGATTGAGATAGGGAGTCCCAGTAATATCAGCTAACATTGTGAAACATTGTGCGAGGAAATAGTTGGTAAACAAGATTTCAGGCACTCAATTCTAATTGTTCCTGTCGTCGTTGGTAGTTTAGGGTTTGCTTTGCGTAAGTAAAAATTATGTATACGACTCATATAACCGCACGTGTATCCAACTGCAATCTTAGGACCGTGTTCGTATGGTCGTGGGCATTGCATAAGCCGCAGCCGATAAGCGTTCCTAAACGAACTGCAAATATGTGGAGCCCGGTTGCCTGAACACGCCCTCAGGGAAATCGCTTGTAGATTGCTTTATATTTTACCATATTATGCAATGTCAATCATAAGCGACCGCTGACTGGCTTTTTATCAACAACGTCCATCGCCAGTTAGACAAAATGGCAGCGGTGACAATATGATGATAGTTATAACAACCATTGTGGTATTCTAAGTCAACTGAATGCAGGCATTGCTTGCTCTAAATCCGATAAGTGATTGTAGGCAAACGTTGATTGAAGTCGATAAAGGAACTTACAGAACTTAAATATGATAAACTCATTGAGCGATAGTGGAAATAATGGTTTGTTTGATATGTAACAAACTGATTGAAATCGACAGTTCTTTTTTATCACCTATTTAATTACTGCTTTTAAGATAGTAATGGTATTTTCGGAATAATAAAAAAATATGTGTTGTCAAATAAAACTGATTGAATCATTAATTGATGGGAGTTTAACTTGAGTGATTTTAACAATCCGAATAGATTTATTTGAATGGCTTATTATTAAAGGGTTTATTATAAAGTAATAATTTGCTGAGTATAAAAACAAATTTCAGTAGCAGTTTTGTCACAATAAAAACTATTCTTCAATCCACTAGGCTTTTGATAAAGTTCTTTAAAAATTAACCAATCACCCCACATAAGCAATTAAATTGCATAACAATGTGCCCTATAAATTGATTATGCTCCGATGATAATTTTCCTCGTAATTATGAAATCATACTCGTAGTTATGAAACCCCACATAAATTTTCATTGCCTTGAAGTTGTCGTATTCGTTTTTGTATATTTTGATTTCTTCTTTGATATTTGTTTTATTGGTTTCTCATTTGTTTTGCGTTTTTTGCTCGGCTCGCACGTTTTATGACATTATATTTGGACGGACGACAATGACGACGACGATAAACACTCGTATAAATAGCATGAAACAACAGAAACCAGGGTGAAGAATTTATTGAGGCAAGCCAATTAGCAACAACAATTTGTAGTTTGTGATTTTTCAGTTTTGATTTCACTCTGATTACACAAGAACCCACTCATTCGTTGACTAATTGGCCCTGTCCCTTTGGCCTTACATAATGCTAGTGTTTGATTTTGTTTATATAACAGCGATCTGTCTGGCTTCCTAGATATTCGACTCTGACTCATGACGAACCTTTTTACCCGATGACGTATGCAAATAGGTTTTTCCTCTTTTTGAGCTAACCATTTTTTTTTTCACCCCGCCAGCGCTTTTCGTTTTGGGCCAAGTGGGCGAACTGACTGAATGGCTCGTTGTGTTGTTGTGGCTCGTTCATTGGCAGCAAACGTCGCATAATAATACTAGTATATTGCGTGTCGTAACGCTAAACGTCAACTGAGCGAGAGGGAGAGATGCAGGGGAGAAGGAGAAAAAGGGAGAAGGAGCCAAGTTTTTCGCTTTGAAAGCTGGCGAAAATTGGCTGGTGACCCCGACAAATTGTCGGATTTCAGTAGATTATCTCAGATTGCTAGCTGTAAACCAGAGAATTATGAAATCGATGAGTAATCCTACGAGCCGTTGGAAATATAATTTTTTTAGTAAATTCAATTGGACCTTAATAAAAAAGCTTGTTTACAAGTTCTTACTTTGGTGACTTGATTGTTTTCCAAATAATTCTTAATAAGTAATTCATTAACTGCGTGTGGAAATGTTAGGTGTTTTAATATTTACTATTTTAAAGTTTGTTCTGTTATTTGAAACTATTTTAAAATCAATGAACGTTTTTAAAGGTGTTTTTTAAAGTTTTCTCTAACAATTTAAACTATTATACAAATTTGACTTTTATTAACTCAATTTTATATGATAGTAATATTATTTAATTCTTGATATTTTAAAACTATTAAATTTTTTCCCATCGGCCTACAAAGAAAAGAAATATAAATGAAAAGCCACCCTTTGTTTGGCTGGTTATCAGTGCTAATTTATCATGAAATCGGTTATATATATTTTTCCGCGGAAGTTTTATCACACATTAAATATAAATGATTATCAAGTGCAGGCCAAATTCAATTGGCCACAGCCACAGAAACAGAACGTCAACAAAACGGCGCAAAAAAACGCTTAGTAATGCCTTTAAAAATATGGCAACACGTAAGAGTCGCCTCCCGTCAGTTTCCCCACACCCCAGCAGCTGCACTTTTTGTTTTCACAATCAGCAGATAGCAAATGGAAAACAGTTTTTCCCCTCCAAAAGAGAGGGAGAGCGGGAAAACTAAGAGAGAGACTTTAATGTGCCAATCTTTGAAAATGCAACTTGGTGGAGCGTTCATTCACATTGGCCACACATACAAATGCAAGAACTCACGCACACTGATGAAAAGCATGTGGTGTGATGTCGTAACACACACAGAAAGAGAGTTAAGAGTGAAAAAAGGGACACAAAGAGAGCTTAAAACACTTAAAGAGAGTGGGAAAATTGAATTACCTGTCGCTGTTGAGCCGCGCCTCCTTGTTTTTCCCCAAAAAGGGGGGGTTTTTCGCTGGGTGTGGGGGTGGGCTGTTGCTCGAGAATCACACACACACACACTCACAATCACGAAATTCTCCCTCTTCTTCTTTCAATTTTTTTGTTGTATACTTTTGTATTTATTTTTTTTTGTTTGCCAAAAATTTATAGCCACACGCGTGCGAAAAAACGAATTGGGGAATATATTTTCTGGTGTTATGTGTTGTTGTTTTCCTTATATATATTTTTTTCGTTTTGTAAGAACTTGGAACGGCGCTTGTCCGTCGGCTTTACGTAACCCCGCCGCACACACGGGTTAAATTTTTTATTTGGGAAAAGGGTGCGCGGCAAATTGGGGGGCCTGCACTTGGACCCCTTTCAATATTTTGTTACTAATTTATTTATTTTATTTCTTTACACTGAGAAACACGCGACCGAGCGCCTTAACTTTATTTTATTTATTTCTTTGATTACGTTGGCGTTTGTTTTGTAATACGCTTACGTTACGCGACGAGAAAGAGAGAGGGAAAGCACTGGGGTGAAAGAGACAGCGGCAGCAGCGGCGGCAACGTGTTCGAGTGGCTCGGCGATGATTTGCTTATGGGGTGCGCTCCACTTTGTTGCTTTTTATTTGCCGTTTTTATTATACTTTTTTTTTTGTATAATTTTTTTATTATTTGGCCTCTTATTTGTATTTTTCGGGCTGGTTTACGAACGGGTCTCTGCTGTCTGAACTTGCCACGGCCGCTGTTCGACAGCGAATGAAAGGTTCGAAAAGCCAGTCGTTTGCTTGGAGCAAAAGCAGTGTGTTCTCTTTGGCGGCTAAAGAGAGTTTGATATACTCGAATATTATGTCACTGTGGGGCTGGTGCTCTTACGCCTCTGTTGCGTCATCAATTGCTGGGGCTCTCGTTCTCTTCGGGCGGCATCTCAACTCTCGCGTTTTTTTTGAAAAATTTGCCGGCAAAACGTCAACTGTCAAAACAGGCGACACCAACTAAAATAATGGGGACGCGGGGCTGAAGAGGGTGGTAAAAAAGCTATAGTTTTTGGGGGTGGTGCGGGTGGTGCTGGGGGTGCTAGTTTGCCAGTGGGCGTCATTTATCGTATGATGCGCATTTCCGGCGCCGCTTAGCAGACAACAGCAATATAAACACCAGCAACATCAATAATGACAGCAAGTACAGACGATCTTCTATAAAATACTTAAAAAATAATTCAGATGTTTACAACTTATAAATAAGTTTTGTGTACTTTAATTAAATTTATTATAACGCCTCAAACCAATGTTATTAACGGGTAATACATATTTTTTATTTACTTGGTAACATAAATAAATATAAATAAAAGTGTATAAAGATAAGAAAACCTATTCAGCTTATATATCTGAGTATTTACAACCAAGAATAAGATTATATAAATGCAATTAATTTATGTATCATCAAAGCTCTAGTAAAAATTGTAAATAAGTAAACTCTTTCAATTAATAACAAACCTTTTTCTTTAGTTTTTAGTTTAGTTTTTATTAGTTTCAAGACCCATAGTTTCAAATTTTTGAGTATCCGCTTGAGTAGAGGTTGGAACTACAGATGTTCGACTGTAATCGAATTGCTGCGTTTCATAAGTGTTGTGTCGCTCTTACATATTGTTTTGTCATTTAACGCAAATTACGTATACGACGCGTTGACCTCATTTGGGTTGATCAACAAATGCAGTTGTCGACAAACTTGGCTTAAACCAACCCCCTGTCTCTCTCCGTCTTTCTCTTTTGGCTTCGCTTGGCTTGTATTTCAAGCTCAAGTTCAACGTTGTCTGTTAGCGGTTGCCTGCATACTACCAGTTTTCATGCTGTTGGTAGCTTGCCATTAACATTTTGAGTGGCCGTTGTTGTTAACTCATTTTTCGCTTTCGTAAGTCTTGGCCAGTATAAAAATATGCGAGGCGAGCGAGAGGAACCCGCATATGTTCAAGCATTGCTCGCATTTATTGCAACATTTCCCCATAGGGAAGTAATCGAATTGCTTCGCCTCAGGTCTGGGTCTGGTTTAAATAGTACAGTGAAACAAATCGCCATTATAATAAATTAATAATTAAATTCAAATTTTGAGTATAAGTAAAATATTATTGTATATTTTAATTTATATTTTAATGTAAGATTTACCCAATAAAGAAAGTGTCGTTAAAGGAATTTGTCTAAAAAACTATTATTTAAAAGTTTTAAAAAATATTATGTTGGAAAGATTGAAATTTTAATTTATATTTTCAAGTTGCCCCAAATAAGTTTTTTTTTGTTTAAAAGAAATTTCTCTCTGTGTACTGGTTATGCAGCTCCCATTTCTCAAATAGTTGCTGTTGCTTTTGTTGTTTATCAACGGAAATTAGCAGCGAGTTTCATGTTTGAGATGTTTATTTTGTAAGCAATATATGAGGAAATTAGTTTTAAGTTTTTTTTGTAGTTTTGTTATGTTTTTTGCATAATGGGAGTATATGGCCGTTTCGGGCTTAGGTTTGGCTCAATTTAGTCTAGGTGTGTTGAGCTAACAATCAAATCATTTTACCATTTTTCTTTTCGGCTTGGTAATGAATGTGAATTGAAGTCCGGCGAGACTCATTTGTGGTCAATTGGGAGTGGAGATTGCTTTTTAGATTGGTTTCGAATCGATTTTTAAAAGTTTTTTTGGGAGCCAAAATGCTTTTAAATCTATTTTGCAGACCTAAATGGCTTTAAATATAAAATATATTTCAAATGTCCTGTTAAATAAAAATATAACTATTTTATTTATTACAATAAGTACTACTCAGGTCGTAGACATCAGTTTTAAAAATGCTTAACAATTTAAATTCGCTGTCGTACGTTCTAGGATTTCCGGCAGCTTTATTTATGCAACATGTCAGCTACAGCTAAATGCTTCACAGCTCATATCATATCCAGTTTCCATTTTTACATCCTCTTTCCCACTCACCAATTACGCAATCAACTTGACCTCCAAGTACCTTAAAAAATATATTCCAGCTGCTTCGAAGGCCAACCACTTCACCATGAAGGTGCTGCCGCAAAGTAGGCTACATAACCAAGACAAAGAACTTACCTTTTGAGTATACTATAAAAGACGCAATAAAATGAAAACAATGTTGATAAATATATTTTTTTTTGCATTTATCGTTTCAAAATTTGTATCTAAACCTTTATTGTTTGTTCTTTTTTTGCAGTTTCTCATAAAATAATATTTACTCGCCTCGCCTAAATCTTACTTCATATCTTTTGAAGTTTTACGAATTAATTTTAGTTTCCATTTATAAATCATAGCCCATAACAGAAACATAACTTTCTTATTACATTAACAAAATTTATAAAAACTTAGATTGAAGGTTTTGGAACTTAAGCTTAATTAAGTTGAGTGTAAAATAATTAACGAATGACTTCAGTTAAGGTAATAAATTATAGCTAATATCTGCAGCATCTCGAGCACTTGTGTTGGAATTTCTTTAGGTTTTCTCTTTTGTTTTTTAAAGATTTATTTTGGTTTTTGTATATATATCTAGGTACATGTTAGTGTCCTTGCTTAGGCTTTCATCTTTACGTTTTAGTTTAAATTTGGTTTTCATTCGTATTTCTTTTTGTTTTGCATGCTGCCAACAACAATTAGGCTGAGTTTCTTGTGGATTTCTTTTAGCATTGCTCTAATGCCTTAAGCTGATTTTTACTAATTTGTTTAAGTACCAAATGAAGTTTGTTTTGCCTTCTTTCAGGCATTGAGTTAAGCTTTGATCTAGCTTTCGTTTAAGCCTCAACTTAAGCTATGGTAGCCTCGTGTTATTTATGAATTTACCTTCAGCTTTATTTTGCTTTTCATATATAAAATTATTTGCATTTCGTTTCATTTTGCAAAAATCTCAAAATATAAGTAAAGGCTCTAAAACGCTTTGTTAAGTTCTTTTTTTAGTTTGGATTTATTTAATTAATTTAGCTTGATTTTTTGCAACAACTAACAATTTTTTGGGTTTTTGTCCATTTTTTTTTATTCTTACTACATTTAAATATTTTTATTTGTGGATTTTTTTCGGGGCTTTTTATTGATTTTAAAATTCAACAACATTTTTGTCTTTAATAATATGTAAGAATATATTTTTATGTATATATATGTATATATAAGTTATGTATATGTGTATAATATTATGTATATAATAGCATTTAATATGTTTTGCATTGCCATTCGATTCGCGCCGCCACTTCCGTTTCCGCTACGCTCCACTTTTTTGATCTCTTAATCACTAAAAACACTCAGCTCTTGCCCGTTATTACTTACTTAAGTTATCGCTTTGCTAATTTCTCGTTTTTGTTTGTTTTCTGCTTTGCACTGCAACAATTTGTGTCTTTAGTTACTATTTTTAACCCTGCCTAACGATCGCCTTCCCTTGCCCGTTTGCTATTTAGTTGAGTGTACTATATGCATACAACTAATATCTGTATAAGGTAGATATAAAAATCATCAACTACGAATTTATCTACAAAAGTTACTCGCTTGTTTTTTTTTTGTAGCATGCGTAATTCATTTAACTAATTCTGTATATAATAATTATATTTTAATGTTTATTGTATATTAAACATAATTTCGTTAGTTTTCATATTTGTTTTTAAACGTTTCATACTTTTCAGTTTTATCGTCTTCTGTTGTTGCTACAAAGTCTACATTTTGTTACGGAACATTCTTATTCGAAAATCTGGGTTTTCTTTTTTTTTTAACTCAATAGAAGTATTTAAATAAAAACCTCTACAACAAACTCGTTGCCGAAACTCTGAATAAATTTCCTTGCCCTGGAAAAGTTTGCTTGCTTTTGGCCTGGGAAAATTGTGGCCCGAAAGTAGGCTATGAAAATCGCATCCTCCCCTTGCGGCTGCGTGAGTGTGGGTATGTTTATGTTTGTATGTCAGCCGAACTAATTGATCAATTTATGAATTCAGTGGCGGTTTTTTATTCCGTTTTTTATTTAACAATTCTCTACATAAACCAAAATTTGTCTACAAAAATTCAACTACAAACTACGGAAAACAATAGGTTTTAAAAATATACAAAACTACACTTAACTAAAGCTGTGTGGGGGGAGGTCTACTGCTCATTCAACTAATGCCCAGGCCAAGTAAATAAGCAAAATATCGCCTTAATTTGTTTTCACCTCTACGCGCATTTTATGTTACTTAGGTTTAAATATTTTTATATAAATATAACATGATTTTTGTTTTACTTCTGGTTTGTTGTACAAATATGTAGCAATTGCTTGAATCTGCTTAGTCGTATAGTCCGCTATTTGAGTTATCCATATATGTTAAGTTTATCGTATATACTTGTGTGAATTCATTCAACAACCGAAGCTCAAAAATGTTTATTTGCAAAATGACACCCAGCATTTTCCGTAGGTTTTTTTTTTTTGGTTGTGTTATTTGTGGGATTCATTCTTCATTTTAAACGTTATTTTGTGGTTGTTTTCTCTAGGTGGTCTCATAGCAGTGCAAAAGGCCTTTAGGTTAGATTTGTTTTTTGGGGGGGTTTTGTTGGGGGAACAAATAAGAACGGGGGAGGTGGCTAATTATCTAAATTGCTATGTAGATTACTATATAATTTGTGTATTTCTTGCATCTATCGTTAGGGTTAGTTTCCATTTAAGTTACGGCTGTAGGTTTGTTTCTTTAACTCTGTCTTGAGATCCTTGCATGGTTTTATTAGATATTTACTAACAATGAGGGTCAGCTGAGGGAGTAGATAAAAAATAAACGAGTTTTCAATAGTTAAAAGCAACGCTTAGACTTTTATTATTACACACAAATTTTTGTTGTTTGCTTTCTCACTTTTTCGTTACGCTCATTCTCCTTTTATCGATCTTTGCTTTTGTGGTTTCTTTCTGTTTTTGTTGGTTTTGCACATTTTTCCATAGAATAAATAAAACTTATTGAAATTTGTTAAGAAGACGTGCTTAATGAACTTAATTAACTCCCTACGCTTTTGTTTTAGCTTCCATTTTGTTTGCTGAATATAAAATATAAATTTTGCTTTCGGTTGATATTTTTTTTGTGGTTTCATATATTTTCTTAATTTTCTAAATAATTGTATGCAGGTAAATGTAACTCAAATGTATAACAAATAATAATAATTAATAAACTTAACTAACGAAAATAGTTGTTGTTTAAAGTAACGTAATTGTATGGTATTATGTAAAAATGTTTTGTTTTTATATTGTTTGTTTAAGATCTTGCAAATCACACCAAAAGAAATAGTTTTTCTTGTAATAAAAGGTAAACGAATAAAATTTATACAAACTAAAAGGAGAAATGTGAAATTATGGTAAGGAGTAGTGCAATATGAAGGGATTTTCCAGGGGATGGTTCTGTGTTTTTGTTTGTTAGTAGGTAGTAAGAAAAGTAGTTTTCTCGCCTTAACTAGCTGACTATGTCTGGGTTAGTTTTGGGTTGGTTATTTTAGTATCAACAAATCAACAACGAAAACTATTTCACTTCTAGTTTTGCATTTTTGCCAGTCCACCGTCTGTCTCTGTCCGTCTGTTTTTAATTTTTTTGGGGTTTTCTGATATTTTTTTTTCATTAGGTTTATATAAAAATCATAGCTCACTTAAACTAACCAGCTGCCAAGTGCCCGGCAACTGAGGAGGGAAGTTCTTTGCTCATTTCTAAATGGTTTTCTCTTAGCGTTTCTTTAATTTTCCATTTTTTTTTTGTGGGTTTTCATTTTGCAATTTTTTATACAAGTTTTTCTTATGCTTTTTATGTTAATTCTTCTCTCGAGTTAATTTGAAAAAAGGCAACGAAATTATTTACAATATGATTTGTTGTGTGTGTGGTTTCCTTTCACTACCAGCTAAAGCAAAGCTTAACCGAAGAACTAATTACAAAAAATAATAAAAATTAAAGTAGAGGGGGGAAAAGTAGCAGAAGAAGGTGAAGAAGAGGTGTTTTCTTTTTTGTGTAAAACTAGGCTAGACAACTATTAAACAATTTAAAAGATAACAATTCTAGGTCTGGGCTCTACGTGTGTCTCTTTCAGTGTTTTTTTAGGATTCCCATTGCGCTCGGAAGTATGCTACTTTAAAGGCAAAAAGCTTCGGCTTGCAGAGTTTTTCAACACTCTGCTCTCGTGAGACTTTCTTTTTTGGCTACTCTAAAAAATGTTTAGTTTCCATTCGGTTTCTCCTCCTTTGTGTTTAGTTAATTTGCTTTTAGTTTTTAGCATAAAATAAATATATAAGCGGAGCACGACGCCGTGAGGGTTTGTGTTGTGTGTGTGTGTGTGTGTGTGTGTAGATGTGTGTGTTTGCTTACTAATTATATTTTTGCATATACATATTTAGATACAATATGTATTTATAGTGTAGGTTTCATGTCTGCTGTACTAAACATTATTAGTAGTTTTATCATAGTTATGATTATTGTTATTTTATCAATAGTTATTATTATTTAATTGTTGTGGTGTCCTCAGGCCAAGTCACAAAATTGTATTTATCATTACACATCTTGGAATTTCGATAGACGTGCACGCAAGTCCATGTTCTCCTGTTTCAACTGCTCCACCTCCTGATGTAATGTTGCATTCTAGATGGGATTAAGTCGGATTAATTTTTGGGTCATAAATGGGCTACTCTGTGTTACTAACTTCCTTCTCCAAGTAGCGTGCCCGCATCGCAATCTGGTTCTCCTTCTGGCGCCGGGCATCGCGGGATCGCTTGGCGGCAATGTTGTTCTTCCGGCGGCGCGCCCAATACTTGTCGTCCTTGAGCTCATCTGGAACAAATTGCTTGCGTGACTTTTTGATCATCGGCTGCGGCTTGAGCTCCTCGTCGGAGAAGGCTCGAGTTCGCGGATCAAAGTCACGGCCCGAGGAGGCGAACGAAAATGCTGGAATATCAAATACTAAATGTTAACAATGGTTCACAGACTGTTTCGTGCTAAATTAACATCATAAAAATCAACCTCAATACGGAAACTCAACAAACAAAATGGTAACTCATGGAAAATTAAATTGAATTCGAATTGAATTTAAATTGAAATTGAAATTTAAGGATTTGCACAAATTGGAATGGGAATCATTGAGTGGAAGACCTTGCGGGTCCTCGGTTTGTGTCTCTTTAACATTTAGCATTTGATACGACATTTGTGGGTAACTTAAATTAATTTATATAATTCAATTATAATTTAAGTTAGAAGCAATGTCCATTCCATTTGTGTTTTAAATAATTTAATTTACAAAAGTCAATAAAGTTGTTGGGTATATTCTTAGGATCGTAGTTATGTCGGTTTTTTCAAAGACGTCATCGATTTGATAAGTTAGCTGATATGTGAATTTGATAACGAAATATTATCTTTGAAAAATAAGACTCATGCGTCTTTTGTAAAAATGGATTACGATGAAATTAGGTATTAAATACACGTTTATATTTATTGTTACAACAAATTAATGCCAGAAATATATATGAAGTTCATTGAGAAAAATCAAATTAAAATTTATTTGGAACTGGATTTTGTTAACGATTAATTGCGCTATTAGGTTACATTACTTTTTATCGATATTACACTTTATGTCGTTACTTTAATAATCGATTGAATTGGCTATCGATCTCAATAGATATTGCATTTATCCCGCTTTGGTTTGTTTAAAATTTGATTATGATTTATTTTACGATCTCAGTTGACACTTTTGGCGATTGCGCGATAGTTAGCTATACTCACTTGACTCGGCCGGCGATGGCGGATTTAGCGTGTCCGGACTGATGCAGTCGGATGGCGAGGGCGACCGCTCCCGCTTTGTGGTTATGTGGCCCAGGCCCAGCGACAGACCCGCTGCGTGACCCAGGGAATCGGAGCGGTGACCCAGACCACTCGAGTGGCCCAGGTGCGTTCCGGGCAGGCCATCAGGTATGTTATTCTCCGACAGGAACTCGTCTAGGTCGGCATACTAAAATGTTAAGTACGAAAAATGCAATGAACAACTGGACACGGATGGGAGGAGCAGACATATTTCCTCGGGGTTAGTCACACGATCTGAGCTCTGATGATGAGAATACAATTCTCGCACTAAGTAAGCAATCGATAACATTCAAGTTAACTGTTTCGCCGTGTATTTTGTCATGACTGTACTGGTGTTTATGTGTATTTTAGGCTGTTTCCACTGATTGATTTAATTTTTTTTTGATTTTATTAGTAAGAAAATGACTATGTCAGCGAAATTAATTTAGAAATCCATATCCAAAATAGTGTTCAAGTTTATCAGTGGAATCAGCCTTTTAATGTAGAATTTTGAGCTTTGTGTGTAATTTTGACCGTTGGAACATTGTATAAAAAGACGCAGCCACTACGCAGCGATGACAGAAATGATACTAACTTGTGTTACCTTGAGGTCGGCATCGTAGGGCAGGGTCTTGTCCCAGAGATTTGGGCCCAGAAACGCCGTTTGCGCCTCAACATTCCAGATGTCGCCCTCCTCCTTGTATTTGTCATCTGGGCAGATGATTTCTTTGCTATTCGATGTGGATTTGCCTGCAAAAGAAAGGGTGGACAATTAGTCAGGGCCATAACTAATAAGATAGTGAACTATAAAAACAGCAAGTAAAGGGTTTGATATCTTATCCCCATACTTGGAAGTGGGTCAAGTATTCGCCATTTCTCTATTATATAAACCAATCAAATTCTTTGGCTATCGTATGGGAACCACACTTATAGCTGAAACAATTTCCGCGAATTTCCGCATGCAGCTTTTGGCCATAAAAACGGGTTACAGGCAAACAAAACGAAACGAAACAAAGACAGAAAACCAACAAACAAACAAATCACACACACACACAATGCAAACATCGGCAAGAGGAAGCAGCGGACATACGAAAAGCGAAAGTGAAATTTTTTACTACAGCTTTCAAACTGATTTTATCACTTCCAGCTGAGAAAAAAAAAAAAAATAAATAAATAAAATAAACTCAAACACTCAAAGAGATGGCTAAAGCTTTTTAGCCCTATTGTAGCCGAGTTGAGTGTTTTTGTTTTCGAAGCTTTATTTTGGCTTTGACGCTGCGCATGCGCAGCTGAGCATGATCTTTCTCTGCTTTTCGCTTCTTTTCTTTGATTTCTTTCACCAAACCCGTTTTCTGGCCACAGACAGTAACAGAAACCAGTTGCCGTCTTTGGTTTCTTCGGCTCGCAATAGTTTCCGCTTTCTTATTCACTCTCACTTTCATTTGCGAATGCTTTTTTCTTGTATTTCTCTTTTTTTTTTTGCTTTTACAGTTGTTGCCACTGCCGCTTTTTGCATTACGGACTATTGCGAAATTTTATGCCATTTTGCGGCTTGCCTCTTCCTTTCCTCGACTTCTTCGGCGCCAAACAACACACACATTTCTGGTCTGTGCCATGAAGTAATATCTTTTCTTTTCGATGTGCTCACCAAAGCGTAAGTGAAATGCTCAAGTGTCTGTGAAGTAATATCTGGTGTTTGGTGAAAATTAGGACTTGCAAATCGGCAAATGCAGTGGCCCACGAGGCGTATGGGCAACGTTTACAAAAACTTTGTGGCCGGCGTCTTTGCATGATGATTTATATGGGAGCTTACGAGTAGTTTAAATCTATTTCTTTCCAGTTTTTATGCATTTTAGCTGATAAATTGATGAAGAAATTCTTTAAAAATAACTTTAAGAAAATTCGAACTTTAAAAAATTCAAGCATAAAACCATTTGGCATAAACTAAAATGTAATTATTGAATTAGGGCAAAATATAAAAATATTTATGTTTATAAAGCCTTAAACGGCAAAAAAAAAATTTTAATTAATTAGGAAGTTTAAAAAAAATCAAAAAATTTCATTAAACTTTGACGAGATCATATAAACATTTAAATATTTTCAAAAACTTTCTTTAACACTTAAAATTGTACCAAGAAGGTTTTTTCATAGCTTTAACCATAAATTTGTTTTTGATGTTATATTAATATTGGCCTTAGATTAACATAATCAAAATTTAATGCATTTTTTTAAATACAAAAATTAACTGTTCAAATGAAACGTATTTGGTTTGTTTTTAAACGGTATAATAATTAGACCACTACTGCAAAATTTAGAAACTTAATAGTAAATTATGGCAAAAAAAAAAAACAATAACAAATCTCTAAAAACTTAATAAAGTATTAATCACAAAAAGCGCACAAAACTCATTCAAAAATGGTAGAAACAAACTTTCGCATGGCAATTAAATAAAACACAAACAAAAGAAACACAAAGTCCAAAATACAAAAACATTATAAAGATAAAACACAAAACTAATAACAAAAAAAGACAAAAACCAAATTACCGTTTGCTTTGCAAATGAAACCCAAAAATGGAGATTTCCTGCCTGTAAAACAGAAGAAACGGAAAAGAAAGATAGTAGAAAAGAAATACAATATTGATTCTTTAACTAAAGAAAACAATTAAAAGAAACAAAAACACATATAGAAAAGACAGAAAAGAAGTAATGTTAATATAACAGACAGCATGCAAATGAGAGGAATTTAAGCTGCAGGTTTTGTATAAATATAGTATGTTTCGAAATAAGAAACCAAAAAGGATGTAAATTTAACTCCTTCATGAATATTGCAGGAGATACTTTTACTTTTATTTTATTGCCTTCGATCCGAATTTATTTCTTTTCCAGTTCACTTTCACTGTCATCAACATTGTTGATTTGTGTGTTAAGCAGCAGGAATCTTGTCTTTCGGTTTATTTTTAGAAGCGAACCCAAAACAGGAATTCAACTTAATCTTCACATGTTTTTGCTTCAGTTTCGGTTTCGGTTTCAGTTTCTCTTGCCATTTTAAGTGGGTCAAGCGATTTTTTTCTGTGTCATCTTTGGGAGCCCTCGCACCTTTTATTTTATATTACCTTTTCGGGTTGGGGATTTTTATCTTCTTTTCTTTCGACCAACGAAATTTCTCATTTTTGGTAATTAAAATAATTTGCATAATTTTCGTGCGTTTTTAGTCTGTATTTCACTTTCATTAGAAAGGGATAGGAATAGAGAGAGTTGTCTCTTTTTGGGCCTACGACAACAAATTTATTGTATCTCTGGTGAAACGCTCTCACACACTCCCAGTTCTCTTTTTTGGTCATAGCTTTTTAATGGACCCACTAATAATATTATGCTTATTACTGGTCTTATTATTTTTCTGTAAATTTTTGGCTCTGTGGTCTTTGTTGTGTTAATGGTTGGCCACAATTTTTAGTAGACCATGATCCGTAGATTTTTCAGATATGTATATAGTTTTTTTTTTGGGAATTAAACTTTCACTTTTTGTTTCGTTTTTTCGTGTTTTTAGTATGAAACAGCGCAAAAATTGGTTGTCTGGCGGTTTTAGTGACGGTGATTTTGATGAATTGCAAGTCAGTTGAAGAGGAAATTAAGGAAGTGGTGATAAAGTGTAAGGAAGTATGTAGTAAAAGACTTTAAGTAATAATTTTTGAAAAGAGCTAACAGTGCCTAAATTATTGGATATAGCAATAACTTCAAGCAAGTTATAAATGTTTATTTTATTTTGGAAATAGTTTAGTTATTATTTATAGTTTTTTGTTTTAATCTTTGATCTGTAAATCAATTATTGTTTATCCATTAGTTTGTTATGTATCTGTAATTTTTTTTCCGCCTTTTCTCAGCTTATCAAAATATCCATTAAACCAATTAAAGTTTCGATCTCAAGCCACATCCGTCTCCACAGACCGAAAATCTCCTCTCCCCACCACTCACCCCCTTTGGTAAACGAAATAAAAGTGAGAGTGCTGAACAGACAGGAAAAAACAAGTCTTAAGCCCCCAAAAACTATCCCCAAAAAGCATTCAGACAAACCAGTTTAAAATACGCAAATCGATACTACTTCTGGGCGAAGAATTAAATCAAAAATGCTGCGATGACGATGCCGACGACATTGAAGAATATTTATGAAAATTAATTCCACGCGAAAGTTCATTTTGGAGACCCAGTTTAACACCGCGGGATTATCATAACAATAATAAAAAAACGATACTACTGAGAGAAAAAAAAGAAAGAAATTAAAAAATAGTAGAAATAAGCTGTGGCTAAATTATGCAACTTTTTGCATTTTGCATTTTTTTTTATTTTTGATCCGCCGACAGACACGTAAAACAACAACAACTGTCCGCCCCTTTCACCTGTCTTTCTCCATCTCTCTTACTCTGTCTCCATCTCTCTTACACTCTCTGTACTTTCAGTCATACAGTGGGCATGCGCAACGATGGCGCAACTGTGACTGGTTTTTTTGCTGCTTTTCACATTGCTGTTGTTGTTGTAGTTGTTTTTGGAGTGTTGTTGTTGCTGCTGCGCCTGAGTGCCTCGTTGTATTACATCGATTTATAAACTATATGTACGTCGCACTCTTTTTTTTATGGTTTGTTGCCATTGTTGTTGGGGAAGTTGTTCTTGTTGTTGTTGCTTTAGTTGTTGTTGGTGAAGTGCAGAAAGTGTAACACTTTCGATTGTTGCGCCGTCTCTGTGTATTTACTCTGTCGTTGTTGCTTTTTGTACTGCGGCTTTGTATGCATTGCATTCATTCCGTATTTGCGCTCATTTGCATTGCTTTTTTGTACCTTTTTATATATTTTTTACAGCTTTCTGTGTGTTTGTTTTATATCTTCTACCGCTCTTTTTTGTGAAATTAATTATGTGTGGGAAAATGTGATGGGCATTAGATTTCCGGGTTGCTATCACGGAATGTTGGTTGCTAGGAGCATCAAAATGAAGCTTTGTCTGCCCAACTTTATGTTATAAAAATCGAACAATAATATTTCCAATCCGTCTTTATTTTTAATTATTTAATTAATTATTTTATATTTTCGACTTTAAAATGAAAAATACTAGTGATTTTTATCTCAAAAGTGTTGAAGCTCAGAATAAAATAGTAACTTTTCTATTGAATACTTTAATTTCAAACTTATGTAATGTCTTCAAAGTTATATTGATTAAAAATTATTTGGCATGTTTATAACAAAAACATTATTTTAGTACCTAATAAGCACTGATTCTTTTTATAATATTTTTACTTAATTAACAAAAGTTTAACGCGAATATGTATTAATTTTTCATATTTCAGTAAGTTGGTTCTTAAATAATTATTTCTATCAAACCAAAATTTGAATATTTTCAACAATTAAATGCCTAAATATTTTATTAATATAGGCGTTCTAGACAATGTACAAGATAATTATTATTATAATGGTTGTGCCCCATCAAAAAATATATTTCCTTAGCTATCACAAACCAAATTAAACCACTTTCTGAGTAAAGTAGAAAGACGATTGGATCAGAAAATTACAAAAGGCTTTCCCAAATTTCACAATCTTTCCAACTGTGCAATTTAATTGTTCCATCTCCGTCGCACTGAATTTTTGCAGACTAGCTGCCATAAACGCGATTTCCCTAACGGCAGACCGCTTTCTTTGCGATTACGAAATTAATAGAAAATTATGAAAGACAACCGCACCGAGCGGCGGAATATTTTGCAATAGTTTAATTGCCCGAGACTCGGGCGGCGAAAGTGAAAATCCGCAGACAGCGACACAATTTGCCAAATAGTTTTCCACTCAACCCATTAGCCCAATTTCAGTTTGAAAGAAAGCCAAACCAGCGGCAGCAGCAGCAGCCGCCAGAGCAGTTAATTAGCAGAAATAAGGAAGCGAAACCGATAATCATACGTATCGTGTTGGCTCTATCAAATTATAGACTCATGCCATAAAGCGGCTGAAACACGAACGACGTCTAGAGACATCGAAACCCAAATAAAATTGCCTCAAATATGCAGAGCACGCTGGCTGGAAAAAAAAAAAAAAAAAAAACAACGAGGGAGGCGTGGCTGGGGTAAAACGTAATCAAAACACAGTAAATTCAATCAAAGTGCTTCTGGTCTTTTTGTATTTTCGTATTTTTCGCCTGCCCCGACGACGTGTGAACAGATCGCTCATACGCCTCGTGGTACGCCAAGCAAAAGCCAAAGCGCCTCTCTTTCGGGCCACTTTCACTGATTCAAGTTTCTCACCTGGCAGCGTCGCAGCAATTCGCACGTTTTACCGTTGTGCGATTGCGCAACACCACATTTTGCGCTTGTGAGTGAGTGTCGGCCAAACAACAATAAATTGGCAACAATCTTGCGTTTGGCCAAGACGAGTAGCTAGCGCTTTTGATTGAAATAACTGTAATACGTTGCATTTTGGCAGGCCGCCTATCTGGGTGAGTGTGTGACGCCTCGGGGGTTTCTAGGCCCCTCGCCAACCCCCCTCGATTTTCGCCTTGTGGCATGTTTCAGGGGCGCATTAACGCCGCGCACTTCCCGCGGAGATAAACCAAACGAAAGGAAGTCATGAATGGCCAGATTGAGGCGCTCCGAACGGGTCAAGTCAATTGAAATTGGAGGCGTTCATGGTCATGAACATTTGATAGAACCGTAGAAACTAAAGAAGGTGCAACCAGATATTACTAAATGGGAGAATAGAAAACTTTTTGAAAATAGAGAAATTAAGGAAAAACGATGTAAGAAATATGTGTGCCATAAAATTTCATTTTAAATTCTACTCTTCTAATATCCAAAAATTAATTTGTATATACTCCAAATATAAATAAAACAAGACCAATACCTCTAAATCAAATAATAAGCAAATGAAAAGCAAACAAAAAATGTAATTTAATATGTATATAATATAATATATTTTTTTATAAAATGGGTATAATGTTTCTCTAACTTTTCCAAGGCAAGTTTAATTATAAAAAAATTTACATCAAATATATCAAATAAATCATTACGTAGCCATCAAAAAAAATTAAAATCCCATTCTCAGCTATTTAGATAATTATAAATATTTAACGAAAACCCTCAACCAATTTATCTACACATTGTTTTTGGCAACTTTCGAAATCGTATATTTTTTGATTAAGATAAAATTATATTTATTTCCCACTCTTTAGAGCTGAACTGGAACCCTTCAACATTTTTTTTTTTTTGGCCTGTCTGTCTTTCTGTTTTATTTCAAGAAGAGCCAACAAAGTCAACAGCGAGCAGGCCACAAAAAATATCAAAAAACTACCAAAGAGCAAAGAAAGAAATGAATTTAAAAACTGCCGAAAAAGTGAAAGTTAATTTTGGTGATGTTGCTAAGCCGGCAGAGCAGTTGACTTGTTGTTGCCGTCGTCGGCGTTGGTTCAACGAAAGTAAAAACGCATTTTTCGGCAGCTAAAGAGCCGCTTATGAATTTGATATTGTCCGCCTGGACACATATAAATTATGCCGCGCAATGTCAAACAAAAACACAGAAAAAATTGCCCTTTTGTTGCCGCTTTAGCTTTATTTTTTGGCA